ACAACTATGTCGTCGGCACCATCGACGTCGATTGCCAGCGATGTACATCCAGTAACGGATATTCGTGAACTGAAAAGTGCACTACGGTTGGATTTACAGTCCAGTTTGAATACACTGAAACGACATCAAAATGGTGTTGAAAATTCAGCAGCTGACCTGGTGAATCGAATGAAAACGCCATCATTAGCAGACATTGAAAAAATTATTGCTGAAGGTATGAGTAAGACAATTCCCTTCGTTTTGTTTTAATAAATTTCTTTGTTTTCCTTTCTTTGCTTTTTCACCTTGATAGCCATACGTCTGCAACCAAACTTTGATTTTTTTCACTTTATTTAACGTATATAAGAAAAGAATGAGGATCAAAGTTATTAGCATCTCAGTTTTATTTGTCGACTTCGTATTGAACTTTATTTCAAAAATTTGTGTGTAGTAGTTGAGGTATTTTTCATGAGTTTGTAGCACTTTTGTGGAGTATCTCATTCGAGTGGTTGATGTATTTTTTTTTTAGGAATTCAGTATATTTTTGTCTCTTCTTTTTAGGTTTTTTAATTTGAATTTGGAAACTATACTTCCTTTTTTCTCTTGGTTTTTTAATCACTTTGGCAGATAGAATTTAACATTACAAATGCTCTAGGTAATCTTTTTAAAAGAATTTTCTACGTTTCACCGAGAATCGGTTCTCAAGTATTTGACAAATACTGATTTCTAGTCTCTCACCGAATATATTTTTCCTACTTGTACTCGTTTTTCGTATGATTTAAATTTTTGGTTTGGTTAGTCTTACGAACTCTTGATGTATTCCCTAAGGTTGTATTATATTATATTCGTTCTTACTTCGTATTGTAGAAATTCATCTAAAAAAACACTAATTTGTAAACTTTTGTGTGGAATATGTAGGTTCATAGAAACTATGAAACAGTATTTTTCATTAAAAAAACAGATGTTTTTACAGCAACACCTTTGTCGACACCAACGTTAGCCAATTTTATGAATCCGAAGAATGTGACGTTAGCTCAGCAGACCTATGCCCAAGGATTTCTTGGTGAGCTAAGTTTATCCTGTTGTATAAGATGTGATCTATAATTATGTCATGACTTTATTTGAAAGATATTTTTGCTTCTAAATTCGGCTTAGTTCCTTAATAATATAAGTTTATAAAGAATAATTGTTATCTTTCTGGCTACTGTTCTTCTCTATTTTAGACGCTTTAAAGCATGTACAACAAATCAACAAGTTCATACCTACTCCGAACTTGTTAAGTTCTCCCGGTTTAGTTCCACAAATTTTAAGCAGTCTCGGGACGCCATCGGGTTCAGAACAGACAGACCTCGCCAAAAGTCCAGCAAGTCCATCCAGGTTAATAGAAAGAATTCCTTTGCCAAATATTTTTTGTAGCTATCTTGTGCTCTTACTGTTTTTTCACGTTTTATTAAAAATTTTCTTTATGAGTTTTGCGAAAGCGAACGACAATTTCAATGTAGTAAGCCTTTTTTTCAGCGTTTTTTTTGTGTAATAGGTTTAAAATCTTTTGAAAATGGCACATTAGCATAACAATAATTCTTTATTTTTATCAATTCGTAAGTTCTTAGAAGAATTACTTTTTTTAATTTAATAAATGTTTGACCGATTTGCCTTATTTTTTTATTTTCAACGGCTTGTCAAAATCGAAGTAATATGGCTGTGAGTTCGTACTTGGACTTCATTGAAGTAAAAGAGGTCTCCAAATTGTTTTATTATCCTAACACCGCTAATTGTTGCTTTGAACTGTTTCTTCTTCAGCAATTTTCATAGTATTTTTAAGTTAGATGCCTTTATTTGCACCATTTCCTTTAAAGAATGCTTTTTTTCTGTATACTACCAATTCTGAGTGGTCTTTCGTCTCATGCAGAGTTAATACTTTTCTAGTCATTGTTTTCTAGATTGCTATATTAGTAATCTTATTTAGCTTTTTTTTTATTGACATTGTTAATTTGGGTTATAGTTCACATTACTTTAATGCAAATTAATCGTTTGCGTTTCTACCGTTTCTTTATAACCTTGAGGTGACTGACTTAATTTTTTGCCTGAAACTTGGTTTTTTTGCTGGGCAGTGGGCCGAATAGTTGATGTCTTTTTGGAAAATATGATTCTTCCTTTCATTCTTATTACAGTTGGTGTGTAAAATAAACGTGATGGGGCAAGTAGCATTTGAGAGTTAGGAAGATCAGAAAAGATTTTTTGTCATGATTAGATATTGTACCTTTTGATTTAACAAAAATATAAAAACATTGGTTAGACTGTTTTCATAAATCGTAAGATTTTTTAAGAAGTTTTTTGGATGAAACAGTTTTGGAAGTATCTTTCCGCCAACTTTTTGGGTAGGTTGCTTCCAAATGAATACGCGGTCCCTGTTGCTTTCCAGTTCCATTTTAAGTGGTGTTACTGAACGGTTTCAAAAAGAAACAGGTCCAAGCCGTATTGGGAAAGAGCTAACGAAATTTGTTTTCGTCGTTTATTTTTCACGTTGGTATTGGAACAGGGATTTCGAATGCTTTTTTTCTCACAGAATTTGGACATTTCTAGCTGAATATATAATGGTATTTAATTGATTTATATTTTATGAATAATGAGGGTTTTTTTCTAGTGATATTAATTGGAAGGCTCTTGTAGCAGTGAGTTTTTTTGCCGAGGAGGATTTTTTGATAATTTTTGTGATTGTTTAATCTTGTTTAAAACTATTACAGTTTTTGGTTCTAATTTTTGAACATGGTTTAATTTAGGAGCCAAAGTTTGTGGCATTTAGGTGTGATGATTAAAATTGGCTTCTTTGCCGCCAGTAAGTAGTGTTCTTTTAAATGGTCTTTGGACTGTATGCTTAAAGCTAGCAGAAGCTTGTACTATGACCATCCCACTCTGTGTACTCAAATTCATCATCGTCCTTTAGAATAGGTGAAGTAAATGTGGCTGTCAAACTTTGGCAAGCAGAATGTTACAGTTTCTTTACATGTGAAGAACGGATAGAAGAGCTACTTGTATCGTTCATCTTTGTTTGAATTTTAAAAGTGAAACTTGTAAAACAGTTTCAAGCGGACGATTTCGGTGCAGACAGCGTTCATAAAGAACAGGGAATTGTTGTTTTTTGTACATGTAACACTTTGAATGAGTCACCCAACGTGTGTATTGACAGTGTTTTTGCCCTATTCGGTTTTCAATCGGACAATAATGGAAAACGGAGAGGAGACCTGTCATCATCTTGTCGATGAGTCATCTGCCGCGCTGATTACTTAGCTTTCAGGCCTACAGATTTGAACTGGAATTTCCGTATATTATGACTTGTTTCAGTAAATTTTCTAGATTTGTAGGGTTTTTGTGATTTTTTCTTCAAAAAATTCAGCATAATCTCTTTACCAATTGTTGTTAATGTCAAGTGTTACTCTCTCAATTTCGTTTGTTATCCCTTAGTAACCATTTGGTCTGTAATATTCTGTTGGGTTAATCCAGGGGAACGAAGATCGGAACGGGTTACCTTCCAGCACTATTTTTTTACATTTTATGTGCCAGAATTGAGAGGCTCGGTTTCTGTGGTATTAGAGATGGTAGCAGCGGTGGAATTCCTCGCAAAGTTAGGCATTTTAAATTGACTACTTTTAGCAGTGAAAGTACTTTGAAAACTTCCAAGTGTTTTTGGGTGAAATCAAAGACAGTTTTACTTCTGATCGCTGTTCTGTGTGCAGTCGTAATTGTAAAGTGCATATTAGATTCAAGGATAATTTGAGCATTGTTATTTACCTGTTTGGCTGCTAATCGTTTTACTTTTCTTTGTTCCACTTTTCTTTGTTTTCTAAATTGAATTGTGTTTGTTTTTTCATGTCAGTCTTGTTATATATTTTAAATAGTAAGTTACTAATTTGAAGGAGGTGGTTACTAGGAGGAAGTTAATTTGCATTTGGCTTCAATATTTTTAAACAATGAGTAATGTTTAATTTTGCTGTTATTCCTGTTATGTATTCAGGTCGTCATTTTTTTTTATCTTGCGTCATTTTACATCAGACAGTTTTTTCAACAGGGTTGGATGAATCAGTTGTTTTGAAGTGGTTCGTGTGTCACCAGGGTTTGTTTGGTAAGGCTGTGTATAAAAAACTATTCTGACTTTGACGAATAACGTGTAATTTGTTAAAACGTTATTTTTAAAGTTAAATTTAATTTCCAAATTCTTCTTTATTCGCATGTCTTTCATTTACAGTCTTCTCAGATTTCAAGTTTGTTTCGTAGTGGGTTGGTAGGCAATAGGCAAGGAACACTGGTGGTGATGAGTCATAGGATGAATTTGCTTTGCGTTTTTAGAAAAAGGGAAGAGAGGAAATATTGCTGTTTTACAGAAATACGTTTGGAGTCGAATTTGTTTGGCAATGTTAAGTAGAAAATTTGTGCTGATGTTGATTCATTTTCTGCGCATAATAGTTTGTGTTATCGTAGTCGTTGCGGTGAGCCGTCAGTGTAGTCCGTTTGTACCATTTGTTGTGTTCATATCAATAACGGAATTTCCGTTCAGTTAAGCTTAACAGGTACGGTTAGTGACCATGGTCAAAGACTAACAACTTGAGGATTAAGTTTTAAAACTGTTTACTAAATAAGGTTTAGCATTGAAAGCTTTAATAGAATTGAATTTATAAAATTTCTTCAAAATTGTGGCTATTATTTTCTTTGCAAACTCCGGACTCAAAAATATTCTGGTAAAATTTGAAATGTAGCTAGCTTGGTGGACCTTACTTTTCTGAAAAGCACTGTAACTGGTTTCGAGTTGGGTAACTTAGGCAAACATTGTTGCTCTCTAATTGAATCGTGTCTTCTTCTGTGTAGCATTAGTTTTTTTAATACTTCCCTCTTCGTTGTTTTTCCGTTCGTTATTACCACTGGTGAGATTTGTCTACAAATTCTTAATTTACTCGCTTGAGATACTCGTAGATCAATGGATAAAACAGTATGGCTGCGTGCCTTGGTTATATGTAAAGATCTGATAATTTTTGCACAGAGATTCCAAATGACTTAACGGAAATGTAACTTCAACAACATCATTTGCTATTATTTAAGGCTGATAGAATTGATTGTTTTTCTTTATAGTGGTGCACAAAGTCTTTTTTCTTGGCTGTTGGGTCTAGTTCGTACATAGTTTTTTTTTTTTTTAATGAAAGAAATGGGATTTTTGGTACTCTTGACAAATAAATTTTAAAGCTTTTTCAGTACTGGAAAGTTAATAATGGGTCTTTAAAGTTTATAAGATCTGTGTAACGGAACGATTATTGGGGAGAAATATTTTTTGGTGGTGTTTTTGTCTTTTTAGACGGCATTTTATCTTTGACTCTGCAGTTTCGGTTTTTGATGTTGAAACGCCTGATTGAGGCAATAGGTAATTTGCAAGGATGAAAAACTTAAGGAAAGAAAAAGAAATGTATAAAATTGCAGAACAACTTTTCAAAATAAAAGGTAATATTGGGTGTTATGGCGACTGAAATATACACTAACAACGCTGTATGCAGTAAATATGCGATGTTTTTCTGCGGTAACCACTAGTCTTTTAAATGGAGATAAATGCAATAAAACCGTTTATGGTTGAGAGCATTGATTACTTTCAATTGAGTTAAGGTGTTTATTTGGTTGATTGTTAGAGTGGAGGGTAAAAGAGGAAAGGTTTTCTTTTATAGTTAACTTTATGTAAACTTTGGATGAAGTAGCATAATATGGGTTTTTCGCAGAGAATACGCCTTTTTTTGCTATTGACTGCATTGTCAGTACAAAAAGCTTTTGTGGTTTTGTGTGAGATTTGCTATGACTCATTATAGTTTTTGCCTTTTACGTTCAATTGATTTAAATTTTATTTTTTCCAACTGTTAGTGGCTGTAAAGAAGAAAATGAAAATGAAAAAAGGTTTAGACGATGATGATTTTGACAGATATGTGGTGTGAGTAATGTTGAACGTTCAGAGGAGTCTATAGTAAGTAGTCTGAAATAATATGAGGTGAGGAAGTAGGTATTACTTCTCTTTTTTTTTCTATTATTTTGGCTCATAAAAAAAACAACTGTTGAGCTTTCTAGGGGAATTTTTCAGCCTTTACAGGTTTGTTTGGTAGTGCTTTTGAACTTACAGACCGGATGAGGCTGTATCGGTGGCAGTTTGCCCTGGAATTATTAATGAAGAGTAAAATTTTGTGTTTGCCCCTGAATTGTTCCTGTTGCTATTGTTGCTGGTGGTTCTTTTTTTCTTTTTGTCGCTGATTTTGTAGTTTGTGAAACGACGGGAAAGATGGAGCTCAGAGAGGGCCCAACGAACAAAATGTAATGGGGTTTGGTTTATAGGTTGGTTGACTGTTTGGCGAACGAACGAATAAACGAATGAACATTTTTGTTTCAGCGTGCAGCGGCAGCAGCAGCACCATCACCATCGCCATCACCACACTACTATTAAAATCACCCGATTTTTAACAATTTTTTCTCTTCAAACAGCTTTGGCTGAGCGGAAAGTTTATCTTTCCGATACATACAAATATACATACAGATATTTCTCTATGCTGTAGTTGTCTTTTGGAGTATAAGAGTGCTGTATTATTTTGCGATTTTCTCCATGGGTCTTTGGGCAAATCGGTGGTTTTGGTGCATCAGTTCTGTCGGCTGCTGTCAGTACAGGGATTCGATTTTTTATTTTGGCTGTTGTACTTGAAAAATTATTTTGGTGCAGGTGGTATTTTTGTTTGGCAGAAATATTTTTGCATATGTGTGATAAAAGAGAAGGAAACAAGGCCTTCGTTTCTGCTTCCTATTACATAACGTGTATACATTGCATTTTTGTTCAGCTCCCAAACATTTATCATGTGTATATACAAAATACAAGTAATCATCATAATATCGTTTACATCACCGGTTTTATAGCATATTTTTAGAAAAAATATTATTTGTATGTGACCGAAGGTTTGGGGTGGTGAGTTTTATTTATATGTATATATGTACATATTTTTCTTCCCTCTTTTGTTACTTACAACAACGCATACGTATCAAAACGAATCTCAATTGCTTGCTTGCAAACACAGGAACGCTGTGATGGTTTGGCTGCTTTGTTGGGTCGCTTCTGCTCCTATGTTCCTAGCGTTTGTCGGTGCTGTTTTTGCTTGCTACAAAGGAGCTGCATTTACCCACAAAAAAAGCATTGATACCGATACAGCACAAATCAGCTATAGCTACTCTGTTCTTTTAACAAAAGAAAGACTGTATTTTTTTTTAACTGCTAAAAACTTTTTTAGCTTTTTTTCTAACATTAGTTTTGTTTCTGTGATCGTTGTTTTCGTTAGTTTGTTTGAAATTTTTTCAATTGCTTAGAGCTTTCCTATCAATGTTGTTAGCTTTCCCCTCTGTTGGCCTCATTGAGTCAGTTTAACATTTATGATCTCATGGTCAGGCTAGTTGATTGATGCCGCTTAGTTATTTTTTATTTTTTCAATTTGACAAGAAAAACCTGATTATTGCAAGATTTCTGATAGCCGTTTAGTCGGCTGGCTATTTATTTTTACGACTGTTTATAGAATGCGAGTCTATTGGTCAAGTTATGGAGCTTTTCTTTTGAAAATTTCCTTCGTGAACTTCCAGGACAATGCTGAAAACGAATCTTGTTGAAGTTAAAATCACTAATTTATTTTTTGGTTATCGGTGTGGCTTTTTTGTGGTTCAGATCTGGTTGGGGGGACAGGGGAAAAGGACTGTGGTACAGAGGTCTTTAAGTTTGCTTGATTAATGATATATCATTTACACCTGTGTTGATATAGATGGCCTCTGTTGGTTAGCGATTACTGTGGCGATCTGGTTCGGAAATTACCCCTCATTTTAAAGTTTCTACTTATCCAATGTAACTTCGAATCTTAAGTTGTTCTTCGAGTTACTTATAAAGTTGAAGTCTTCATCAATCATATTTTTCCAATCTACATGCGTATATTTCTGCACTTTTTTAATATAATATCTTTACTCTCCTCTCCTCTCTGTTCTTATTTTTCTCGTAGTTCTTTGTTATAATAATCTTAATTAAGCAATCTTTTGCCGTAAAGTTTTTTAGTAGTGTATGTTATTTATTTGCTTGAATTAAAAGGTAGGGAAATAGCAAATAATTTGCACCAGTTTTGATGAAATCAATGCTTGTTAGCGTTCGATAGCTACAACGATGGAAGAAGCCTGTTTAATTTTGAACAAATTTGAATTTTGTATGCTCAGACAATCAAACATTCAAATTTTTTTCAGTTTCGTTGCTAATATCTTTTTTCGATGTCTTTCCCCAACCCGCTACTCATACGTCGTCTATTGCGCTTTTATTGGATGAGAATGCATTTAAACGAAGAGTTTTTTAGCTTTTTAGTTTTTAGTTTTTATATGTTAATATTTGATGATGTTGAAGTGGGGAGCGTAATGGTGAAAATAAGCTAGTCAATTACCACAGCTTTCAAGACTTTTGAATCGCTGTTGAGGATATCTAACAAAGTAATCTACAATTCTAGGGATCCCATTGTGCCTGATAATTAAATGGTAGGCGTGATCGAACTGTGGTCGAAGAGCTCACTGTCGTTTTGATTTTTAGGGAGTCATCTCTGTCTGTAATCATGGCGATGGGAAATATGTACAACAGTTTCCCGTCTTTAACCTCAACTCTAGCTTATACAGTTTCTCATTCGTCTGTTGTACCTTCTACAAGTACAGTTACCACCGTAACGCTAACGACAAAGACGGAGCCTATAAGGCCGCCATCAACAAATGTTAAAGATTCTTATTACGAACTCTACCCGACTGACAGCAACAACGATGCAGAAACATGCTCCTCAGCTTTGTCAAATGCAAGCCCTCGAAGTCAAGATGAGCAGGCTTTATTAGGGTCGTTTTCTGGGTTAGTCATAAATTGTTTGGTTGGTTGAATTAAAAGACGCAAAAGGAGATCTTTCAAATTTCTATGCTTTATTAAAAGGCGTTGCTCAAGATACTGTTATTTATTTATTTTAATTACCTTTTTTCTTCTTTGAAATCATTTAGAGTCTGTCAAGAGTGCGTTGTAGCAGCTTTTTCAAATTGTTGTCAGTCCTATACTAGTGTTAATTGTCTGGAGTGAGATAATAAATCGAAATCGGCTTCAGGCAGGACATCTTTTAAGAGCAAAAGATTGTTTTGCTACTTTGGACTTATTGCAGAGACAGATGTGTGGATATTGAAGAACAAGAAAAGCGAAAGCTGGAACGAAAGAGAGCGCGAAACCGATTAGCAGCTACAAAATGTAGACAGAGGAAAATTCAAAAAATTCATGATTTAGAAAAAGAAGTAATTTCTTGAGTTTTTTTTCTTTTTTTTTTTTTTTTTTTTTTTTTTT